CTTTTTCAAGCCATTTTTCTGATGTGTTTGTCATTTTTTTGTATGCACTAATCTTGGTCGAAAAATAACGTTCGTTCGTATACCAGATTTCAAATACAGTATTGTATTCATCAACGATATATATATAGCTTTTTTTTGCGTACGTACGTACTACATTCTATGGTATTTTAATTTTACAAAATCTAAGGTTCGGTGTAGCGGTATAGAAATTTTTCTGTATTACAGGGTCGGTCAATCGCATCGGTTGAAGGCAGTGTTTAAAATTACCTTGCACAAGATGCACATGTCCAAATAGTTTTTCTTTGTGCAAAAAAAGTTCTAAATGTAAGTACACAAATGTGCAATTAAATTTAAATAAGGAGCGTCGTACAAAAGACAACAATTATATTTGGTATAGTAATTTTATAACGTTAGTATCATTTAGAGATGATAAATAAGTGCAACTAATAGTTGGTTTATGCATGTAGGTTTAGATCCGAATTTTAAACATTGGTTGAAGGGCTTCGGCCGTTGGTTACAAACTACCAGAGATATTATTACCAATCATCGTGAAAGGGTAGCCAAAAGAAAATGGTAGTAATCACCAGAAAGACCAGGAAGAATATCTGCACTAATAGAAGAAAGAATTTTTTCTGGTACTTTAGGAAATTAAGTTTCTTGCCTTGTATATATTGTAGTCCTCAGTGACCACGCGGTGACCATGAATAGAAATAATATAAATAATATAAATAAGTATAAATAAATATAAATAAATAATAGGAATAATAGGAATAATAGTGGGTTTCAGAGTTAACTTATTTTGAAAATAAGTGGGGTTTGAAAGGTCTTATTTTTGTTTTTAAATTTCGAAATCAGAAAATGAAAAAGGAGTTGTCCGGAGATAAAATAAACAAACTTTTTATGATGTATAAATATGTCTTATTATATAAATAGGCTTGCAAATAAAAACAAATAGCTCTATAGATCGCTGATTATAAAATAAATACGTTGCTAATTTAATTCGAAATAAGAAACCTGAACCTTAGGTCTGAAACCCCTAATTAGGGGTTTCAAAGTTAACAAATAAGTGACGTATTTCGAAAATAAATAGGATTTTTTCAATAGTATTTTTACAATGCTGAATTATAAATCGGAAAAATTCTCTGATTTTAACTTTGAAACCCCTAATATGAATAATAGGAATAATAGGAATAATAGGAACAATAGGAATAATAGGAATAATAGGAATAATAGGAATAATAGGATAATAGGGATATTAGAAATAATAGGAATAATAGGGATATTAGGAATAATAGGAATAATAGTTATAATAGTTATAATAGAAATAGTGACAAAAATAGATACTGACATATTAGATACAAAAAATGAATGTAAAAGGTTAAAGTTTTCTTTGTTTTTTTTTTTTTATATACTCTATATAAGTCGTACGCTGGAACGAAATTATTGTAGATTTAGAATCCACTTAGGTTACAGTAGAACGGAACCCCAAAATAGTCAAAGTTGATATGAAATTTAAAAACAACTTAAGTCGATTCTATAACTTAATACTATATCAACTTACTTTAAAAAATCATGATAAATCTTTTTTTTATTTCATTTTTTTATAATTTGAAACTTATTCAAAGAATTACTTTCCATATACGTATATTATTAATAAGTCGGAAAATAGGCAATATAAAATCTTGCATGAACACATTAAGGTTTTAAAAGATTCAACAAATATAACAGTCGGGGATGCAACACGCGATCGAATTAATGACTTGAATCGGTTGAGTTATAATCGGTTAACCGACCCGAGCCGAATAATTTTTGGGTAACTAGTTGAGTTGACCCTGTACAATCGGTTTGCGGGATCAATACACTGTAGTATGAAAATGACAAAATGACGTAAGGGAAGAGTAAAGGATCTGAAAAGTTCCGACAAGAAAATAAATGAACATAAAATACGAGCAAGGTCGAAACAAAAATTAGAGTAAAGAGAATTTCTGAAAGTAGTATAGATATTAATCTTAGCTGGTTGGCAACCGGTTGAATGAAATAATTCGGATCGGTTAACTGATTAAGGAAATTTTTCTCAGTTTAAATCACTAGATTGCGTGCTCATAAACATTCGAAAAGCACAACCCTCTTCATAAGTAGGTAATATTAAATGCAATTGCAAAAAGCATGAGAAAAATAGTTGTAAATGTAAAAAATAAATCTACCTTGTAGGAATAGAATAGTTGCTATACTGTCATAGATAAAAAACTTCGTGTTGTATTTTTAAATTTAATTAATTTGCAATGCACTATGTTATGAATAAATCCTATTTAAAGTAATTTAAATTTCAAAGCAACATACTCGATGAAATAATTAGTAATACACATAGTTTTGTTGTAAGTTGAATTGGAATTCTTTAACGACTTGGGTACATTTTAAAATTCTATTACAATTTATGTTTATTCAGAACAACCTAGGTGGATTCTTAATCTACAATAATTCCATTCCGACGTACAACATAAACAAAACGAAGCCGATGAAGTTGTTCAAGAATACGTATTCACGAATTTAACGAATTAGAATCTTCTCTAATTAATTCAGATGAAATGAGTACTTTAATTAAGTGAATAAAAATAAATATTCGATAATTACAGAATTAAAGTAAATGGATTTATATTTTTGTGCGTAACTCTAGATTTTTAATATATAATAAATAATGAAACAGTTCCGATCAATTCACTGACAATTAATTCACAGTCATGTTCATTTCACAGACTGTATAATTCAACAACACTCGTTACACAAGGGTTTTTTTTTTAATAAATTGCACTAACCTTATTAAGGGTATGTCGGTCGTTTACTATATTCCAACGACAATGACCAGAATTAATTTGAGCTGTCAGTAAAATATACTGTCCATGAAATGACCTTGATTGTAGCAACTAAAATGTCTATGAAGTGATTATCGGTGAAATAATACAGACCCACAATGAACAACGGACGTTAATAATCAGTGAATAAATAAAACATCTTACAGATACTTTATTCATCCATTGATTTATACTACCATGCCGATATTTTATTTTTTTTTTTACCTACTATAAGATAATTCATAACAACCAATTTTGCCCATTATCAATTAAAACCTAAATGCGAAATGATAAAACTGATGAAAAGCGATGAAAATAATGAAAGATACAAACCGAAAAAAGGACAAAATATGCAAAAATGACAAAAAGAGCGAGACTGACAAAAGATATCACAATTGATGCATTTAAAAATATGTACTAAGTTTACGTGATAATAAACCTCTACATGCCAACTATAAGATTTGTTTCATGAGTTAAATTATTTTATTTGTGTAAGATAAAAATGGCTTTTAGAACAGGATTCAGAAAATAAAAATTAACTATTCAATCGGCCTCATTGTATAATACAAATTACATGTTTGCTTAGATTTGGCCACACGAAAGTTAATTTGAATAAACCATGTGCTAAGAGCTAATACATAAAGCTATATACACGGGATATGAATATTTTGCAACAACTTTTACAAGCATCTCAGCCACAAGAAATAACAATGCGAATGAAAAAAAAAATTTAAGAATCTTTCGCTACGAACTTTGACAATCAATGATTATCTATTCATTAACCCGGTAAAAATCTGACAAGAAAAAAAAGAAAAGGCATTAGGAAAAAAACAGAAAACACACATGGAAACGCTCAGAATAATAGAAAAAATAAGTATTTTATACTATAAATTGATAATAATTCATGATCGTTATTTTTTTTATTTTTTATTTTTTTTCTAACATATATGAATATTAATATATGAATATGAATATCGATATGAATAAATAATTAAAAATTGTGAGGAAACGATTTCTGCACGATAGTAATGCAAGTAATACAATACAGCAATACACCTATACAAAAAAAATATACCGCATCACAATTAAATAAAAATATAAAGCATCAAAAACAAACAACCAAAATAAAATTAAAAATATCGGTAACCAATATAAAATACACATTCTACTTAATTAAAAAATATATATATAATAAATTCAGTAATATTCTTTTTCTAATATATCACAATGATTTGAAAGATCAATTAATTTATATTCATCGCTTGCAGCCAGAGACTTCACTTTTTCAAGAATATCTTCATTCAAATTAAAATCAAGATGTGCAAATAATTTCTGTTCAATCAATCGTTTAAGTGATTCAAGTTCAAATTTCTTTGCTAATTTTAACAAATCATTACAAATTTGAATAAAATCATCATCGTACTCTTTTCTTCCAATATTATTTATAGCTTGAGATAGTGATTCACCATATAACCATCGCAATAAAATATTGAATGAATCTGGGTCAACATCATCAAAACTATTTTGTTGAATTGTTTTAAAGTATGATGCTGCACAACTCAAAACCATTGAATTTGCATGAAAATTTTGCCCATTAACGTCAAATGAGACATCATTAAGTTCATTTGTGTTTTCTCCAATGCATAAAGAATCAATCATTGAATTAATTAAATGCTGTGCATTCTTTTCTTCAAAATTTTCAGGTCTCCCATTTATCGGTAATTTTGATCCTTTTTTCGCACCAGCTAAAATTAGAAGCTTTTCATAGTTTTTAAGATATTCCGCGGTAGCTTTTCTGTATGCATTAAAATCCTTTTTGATAGTTATATCTAGATGTGAAGCAGGAGTCCAGATTTCTGAATCGAATGGGTTTTCCCCATTTAAAAAGAGTGGAGGGTTGTCCGAAAAGTATTGCTTTAAATCATCATTTATTTGCTTTAAATCATCATTTCTTTCATCACATAATGAATCTAATTTTTCGTAAATTTGTTTAATTATATCAAATAATTCATCACCCTTCTGATCCCAATCTTCAGATTTAGATATTGTGGATTGAATTGTTTTTAAATGATTAACAATATTTGAAACAGTTGGTTGACCAAGGTCCTTGTAATTTTCTATAACCTCCTCAGTTGGATCAATGTCAAAAAATGCTAATTGAGTCCATACGAAATTTTTGTACTTTGAAAGACATAAATTTTCAAAACATTCCAACTCTTTCATATTTTTGTTACTACTATATGAGTACGGATATTTTAAAAGGCTCTTTGAGATTGGTATGAATTTGATTTTTGACAATTCCTCCCATTCGTCTTCTGAAAACTTTAGTGTAGATTGATTGTTATAAAAATAGGTAAGAGCAGTTCTTCCTAAATATTTAAGATCATCCAATTTAATCATAATGTTCTTATGGTTATTAAAATCATTAAACAAATTTTGAATATATATGACACATTTGATAAAAATTTCCGGAGTAACTTTTCTTACAAATCCTAATTCTTCAAGTACATTTAAGCAATCTTGATTGCTTTGAATGCATTTAGGAAGAAATCGATTAGAGTTTTTATAAATAATTTGAAGTAGTTGATTGTCTTGATCATTTAAATCTCTTGCAACATAAAGTTGGTATTTTTCATCTGGAAAAATTTTTAAATTCTTTATATAAGGTTTAATCGCATCAAGGTTTTCGGTATCACATAACATTTCAATTAAAAGTTCTGAGTAAGAATTTCGTTGATGGGGAAGAATCTCTTTCATATCTTGAACAAAAGTTTCTTTATAATAGTTTAATCTACTTTGTATTTTGGCACCTGCAGCTTCTAATAATTTTCGACTCTCATATGTTGCATTGTAATAAAAAGTTCTATTTTGATTTTGTGGAAAAAATGTGAATGGACTCGAAGAATTTTTACCTGAAGGAACTAGATATGTATTAGGATCTGAAATTGATTTGAATACTGGATTTTTGGAACCTAAAGTATGTATCGACCAGATAGGCAATTGTTCGAATATCTGTTTATTAACACACTTCTGATAATCTGACGGTAATAATTTCGTAGTAAAATATTGGCATAAATTCTCTATATCTTTTTTCTTATTAATAAGTTGATCTTCAATGCATTGATATTTTCCAATAACATTTAATATATTATCTGGCTGTAATAATTTAATATATTCATTGAGTTTCTCATCAAATTTATGTTTAGTAAATCGAATACCAATATTTATTAATGTCTGAGTTATATCAAATCCGTATTCGAAATAAACGGGGTAGACTAATAAAGGTTTACATGCTGCATTTTCTAAGCTAATCAACTGGTGCTGGTCTTGTTTACTTGGGTCGTATACTTCTAATAAGGGAAAAGGTCTATATGGTGCTAGTGAATGATTTAAGATTCTGGACCATATTTCATTAAGCCATTTTTTATTTGGAATTGTTAAACTTAATGGATTCCAATCTCTTTCTGATATAGGAGGTAGCTCTTGCTGTAGAAAACGTCTAATTGTTGATTCATCAAATTTTTGAATGTTTGTAGCTTTGAGAAATTCATTTTTATAAAATATAGTTTGCAAAGAATACGAACTTAATAGACCATCAGGAATGAAGTATTCTAATCCAGCTTTTGGAAATAAATTTAGCTCTTCTAATGTAGCGATAGTATAATTTTTTTCTGTTGCAAACTTTCCAAATTTATTTTTAAATAATGGAACTAAAGAAAGTTTTTCAAGATCATTATAGTTTTCGTCTTCAAGAATGTATTTCAGTAAAGAAACTCGTTTATGGTTTTTATCTTCAAGAATGTGTTTCAAAGAAAACCGTTTGAGTAATGATATACCCGTCTCATCTAATATAGATTCATCATCTTTTAAGATTTTTCGAACAAGTTGAGGATTAACTTGCCGATATCCTTTTTTTTCTTTAAATTCATTTAAATGCTCGGGTTTAATTTTTATTGTAGGGTGATCATGTTCATTTAGAAATTCTACAATCTTTTCTGGCGTTTCATCATTTATAAAGACACTATTTTTTAAGTTAACGTATTTGCCACCATTATATGGTGACCAAAATACCTCGGAATTTTTTCTACATAAATATTCGACTACTTTTTGACCATATTCTTTAATTTTAAATGTATCATTTTCGATTTCTGGAATTGGCCAGAATTGAGAAATAATTTGATAGGTTTCATTCTCTTGCTTCTCTTGCTTCTCTTGCTGCCCAATATTCGCAATTTCTTCAAAAAATTTTACATGAAGTTGGGAAATATTATTTAAAATTTTTGTATTATTTTCATTATTTTGTGCGAGGCTTCTTCGATTTGATGAAAGTTCCCAACCGTTTGAATGTAGAACGACGGGAAGTTCTGAAGAGTCTGAAAGTGAAAGATACGAATAAAATTTTCCGTTGAAAATTTCTTTATCTTGTTCCTTGGAAATAATTCCTGCAATTGCACTCCATAAATTTTTATCATCTTTTTCTGTTGCACATATAAGCCATTTGACTGTTTTCGATGTACTTTTTTCACTGGTTTGTTTAGCAAATTCATTATATTGAACTTCGAGCTTAAGTACTTGTGATTCTTTTCCAAGTGATTTACGATTGCCAGTGAATATTTTTTTAATTTCAGTATCCCATAAGGGCTTCATTGCATTATCTAAACTCCTCTTCCTAAACACTTTAATAGATTTCACTTTACGCAAAAAAATTAGTTCGGAAATTGCATCTTTCTTTATAACGTCTAATAATTTCTCAATACGATCGAAAATATCAACACTAGATTCCGCAGTATAGACTTTGTTAGAAATTGGACTTTCAACTGTCCTGAGTGGCAATCTAAACAATGTTCCATTAAATTTTTTGTTATAGTCAACTTTGAAGCCACATCCTTCAAGGTTTAGATAGGATTCAAACTGATCTTTAAATACTTTCATTATGTGGTTTTCTTCTCTCTTATAGTCCTCAAAATCAAATATAGAGCCATAACATTGTTTATCAGAAAAAATTTTTCTTTGCGGGTCAAAAAATATTATTTTCCATCCTGATATTATTTGTGGCATATCTGTAAAATTATAACATGATGCAAATCCCAATCCGTACCTTCCAATTTCGTCAGGTCCCTTGACACACCTACCAATGTCATTAAGTGATTCAAGATCTTTTAAAGAAAATTCTTTTTCGTTATATATCCATATTGCTGGTCCTTGCCAACATTTCATATCTTCTTTTATTAAATATTCAGATGAATATGTACATTCATCAAGAATGATACAAAATTGTTCTGCTCCTGCATCATCCGCGTTCTTGAGAAATTCTTGGAAAACAATCTTTTCATCATCAAATTTCTGTAAATACATTCAAATAATCTTAATAATAAATTTTAAAAACAATGAATAATAAAAATAATAAATACATACTTCGAGAATAGTTTTCAAAAAGGTTGCAGTTACATTATCATTTTGCCGAACAAGATCAATTCTACCTTTTAAGAATATTTCACTAAAATTTCGAAGTTTTAATTTCTTTGCTATGTCCCTTGAAATTGACGAATGTACTATAGTATTAAAATCTTTATCTGAATCTTTAGCTCTTGTGTCCATATCATCATAAAATAATTCCTTGCAAGGGACCATATTTCCATTCATGTTTGGAATTAATAATTCTTTTAATTTGTTTTCATCTTCAGTATGTGATAAATGTTCGATCATGTCAATTATAGTTTTTTGCGTTTTATCCGAAAATTTATAATTTGCAAGTAATTTAAAATAATCTTGTTCGTGTTTAACTCCAAGCTCATGAAAAAGTTTTGAATAATTATTTTTATTATAATTTGAAAGTGTAACCATATCACTTTTAACTATAGAAGAAAACACAATTTCATCGGTTGTATAAAGTTTATCATCATTAAAAATCCATTTATTTCCCGATAATTTATTTTTCCAAAGATTTATGTCGTTATTTGAATTTTTAACAACATTGTTTAAGTGATCATAAATTTTGTAAATTCGATTTCCCATATCAGAATAAGAACCATTTTGATTTATCAAATTTGTTAAATATAATAATTGTTCTATTACTTTCAGTGCCGGAGGATCATCATTCCATCCAAACATTTGACGTAAAGCATTATTTTTAATTTTATATTGAACTATTGGTATTATATAAGAGACCAAATTTTGATGTAATTCATCTCTACATTCTGAAGCTTTCAAGAATGTTTTTTCTTTATTTTCTTTTAAAACCGGGATCCACTCTCTATTTTGTATTTCTTCGCGAAATGAAGAGTCGTTAATTAAATCATTACAATTATCATCAATATATTTTAGCAGTTCAAGAGATTTAGAATATCGATCACTGGTGTTACTTGTTGCGTAAGTATCTAAACGATTAATTAAATCCTCTATAGTCATTAAATTTTTCATCCCTAGTTGACGTAATTTATAAAGATAATCTTGATTATTTAAATAAATTCCAGTCGGGAAAAACGATTCGTTCGAAAAGAATAAGCCTTTTATATGAATGTTGTTAGGATCAAAGATTTCATTTGGCGTTTTCCTTTGTGATGATGTTGTAACAAATGATATTTTTGAAAGATCACTTAGAAATGGTTTTATAATTTCCCATCTCTGAAAAAGCTTTTCAATCATTTGATCTTGAATATCAGGTTGTTGATTATTTAAATGTCGAATGACATGATCTTTCCAATACGTTCTTTGTTCTAATCGTTTAACTTTGAGTACTTTTTCGAGAAGAAAACTAATGTCGTCAGAAGTATGAGTTTCCAAAAATATACAATCTGAAATAATACGCCCAGCTGATTTTTCATCTTCTTTAGGTAGTAAATAATGGTCTACTTTAGCTATTGAATCGATGCTTATAGATTTATCATAGATATTTAATGTGGTAAAAATTGGAAAATATTTTATCACTTCTATTAACTTGGCGTCAAAATAAGATTCATTCTGCAAATAAGTTCTCATGTATTTAACCAAAAAATTTTTATCAGAAAATTTAAGATCAGATTCAGTGATGTTGCGTGGAAATGACTTATCTTCTCTGAGTGATAATAAGACTGCTGTAACATTGTCAGGCTCAATTAAATAATTTTTAAGTCTATAATAATAATGTAACAAAATACGGTTAGTTATTTCTACTGTAATACAGAATGCAATAATACAGTATAACTTGAATAAAAGTATTTACTAAAGAGACTTACTTTTGATATTTTGAAGCAATTTGTTTTTCAAAATCATCAATAATAAAGGTAGAGCCTAGCAGGTTTAATATTTGAGTCAAAGCATTAACTGATATATCGTTATTATTTTGATTGCGTGGTGAGCGACATAAACATTTTGGTGTTGCTTTTAATTTTCTCAAGAAAATATTATAACTTTTTTTGATTGGTAAAAGGTGAAGGTTTTCAAAATTTGATAAATTTCTGTTTGTTTGTAACAAATGATCCCAAATTTCATATATCCATTCAATTTTGTTGTTTCTAATTGGAATTTCTTGAGAATTTTCGGAATATCCTTCCAACGAACTCTTAAGAATCGTTAAAAATTGAATTTCTGAAAGAATTTGTATATTAATATTTTTTCCATCTTTTGCATAAAATTTTAATTTTGATAAAATCTTATCGTCTTTTAATAAAATCTTATCGTCTTTTGATAAATCATTTGATAAAATCTTATCGTCTTTTGATAAAATCTTATTGTTTTTTGATAAATCTTTTGATAAATTCAAATCGTCAATTTCATTATCGATGAATGAATCAAAATGCTTTTTATCGATAATTTTAAGTTTATGCTCATTTCTGCTAGTAATATAAAAAAGCTTTTCAGGATTATCTTTTGACTCAAAAGTCGCAAAGGTTTTATTTTTGACCGGAAGCAATGGAATTCCATGGAGATTAGAGACATCATTCACTTCAAGAATATATTCCAATAGAATTAATTTATTCTGACGATTAAGGCGATCAAGGAGAGTATTTATTGGTTTGTCCGATTTCTTAAGATAATCGCATACTTTTTCTGGCGTAATATATTTTAAAATATCCTTGTAGTATAAAGATTCCTTTAATTTTGCAACAATTGATTTTGGAATATTTACAAAGATAGGAAATCCTAGCTTTTCCAATATTTTGGATAGATCTGATGATTTATAGAAATCTTCGTCATTTAAATACCCATCATTTATTGATAAATACCCTGAAGGACCACAAAAAACTTTAAGATTAGGCTCGAGGAGATTAATGAGATCTTGTAAGAGATTTTTCCATAAACAATATTTGGTGTCCAATTCTTGAGATGATCCATTAGCTGGCAATGGCCAAAGCGTATAAATGTTTTCGTGTGAAACATTTCTATTATTTATTTTTATTATTTCTGTTAAAAGTTTCTTCCATGCTTCGGGGATAGCCTTTTCAAATAAATATCTATTCCATGCACCTTTAAGACGTAATAGATCACCTGGCACCTAAAATTCGTGAAAAAAATCATAAATATTACAACTAAATAAGAAATTAAAAAAAAATATTAATTATTACAGTACCAGATCTTCATCCATTGAAATCTCTAAATTTCTTCTGTTTTTACTGACAGCAAAGCAACCATTAACCGAAACAGAAAAGTCATCATAATTATCAGGTAAGGGTAAAAAACAGAATAGCTTTCCTTTATTTTTAGATACTTTGTCAATTCGTACAGCTAATCCGACGCTTGGTACAAATTTACAATCACGAATGTGATTTTTGAATTTAATATATTTTTCATCATTTGTGCTAGAGGTATAGTTAACAATTAACCAATCGCTTTTGTTATTTATATTCTTAGCCTTTTGAGAAAACTTCATTCTATAAATAGTTTCAAAAGAATCTTGACCCGTTGGAGATTTCATCATTGATATCATATTTTTAGTTAACAATTCCCTTTCATGAATTATTTCATTTACATTATCAACCCCAATTTCATACAAGAGATCAGGTATATCTTCATTTTCTTTAATTTCAAAGAATAAAATCTTTTCAATATGCTTCAAAAACAGGAGACAAGAAACATTATCAACATTGAAAAAAATTTTAAACAATTCTTTTATTTGTTCAATGTTGTACTGTTTATTAGAAATCTCTGATTCCTCTGCATCCCTAGAAGTTCGAAGCGGATATCGAAATATTGTTCCATTATGAAACCCATCTGGCATATCATCGAATTGATGAGGATTCTAATTAATGAAAAAAAAAATTAGATATTTACACTTGCAGAGAATTATAATAAAATTATCCTAATTTCTAGATCAAGCTAAGAAAAGTTCTGCTGGCAAGTATACTTATATAACATATACAATAACTGTCAATAGTGATGGGCACCGCGCGTTATCCAGCACGTGATATATTATATAATCATAAGTCTGGTTGGGTTCCGAAATATTCCGATGCCGGGTAAAATTATGACCCATGTCCGTAAAATTCCGAAGTATGAAAAACGCGAATCACGCGCGATTGCCCATCACTAACTGTCGATAAATCAAATTAATTTCAAGCCGCTTTGAAACTTTATATGAAATTTTTTACCTTTGTAATCAATTTTGATTTTATGAAATCAACCAAAAAAGGATTAAATTGATCAGGATGCTAATGAATTAAATATAAAGTTTAAATAATTATTGAACAGCCATCATGAAATACAATTAAATTAATATATATATAATGATCTTTGCCTTATTGAGCATGTCATGTTTTAAGAAGTCGGTCTTAAAACCCCTCTGTCCAGCTTCCATTTCACAATATTTTCGCGCATGAGGATCGATAAGAACGTAGGAAGATCCAGAAATAATTGAGCACACATCTGAGATATGAAAAATTGAATTGAACCCGATACCCATAACTAATATAAATGAATAAATTTAAATATTATAATTTAATTCAATTCCATTAATTATATCTAATTTAATTCCATTAATTATCTTTTATAAAAATGACGTAAGAATTTACCTCCTATTTTATCATATTTATCTATTTTCTCGCTGTTTGCCAAACTAACCAAAGATTTAAAATCTTCTGGTTGAAAAATTGTGTCATTAGCAGACAAAAGTGCAGGGCCTTGATATCTTTTAAGTTTTGGATCAAACAATGCTTCAGAAGGATAGGTTTTATGGTTCAAAATGAAAATTTGAACAGTGCTTTTCGCATCATCAGAGTTTTGTAAAATTTCTCTAAGGATTTGGGATCCATCTGGGTATTCAGTCAAAATATTCTTAATTCGAGTTGTGTATTTTTCTTCAGGGTGAAATTTTTCGAAAATCATTGTGATTGATATATTTTATTATCGTAATTTTATCTTGATTTATTTATACAAAATTTGAGAGAGGACAATTTGAGTACAATTTAGAATTTGATATTTGAATCATATATACGTATGTACATACGTCAAATAGATTTGGCATCATCCATAATTTACGTTAATATTGTATAGAAATAGAAATCTTGATGATAATACCATATAGGATTATTTGATGCCGCCAAACAGTGTTGAAAATTCGTTGTGTATGTATTGTTTTTTTGCACAAAAATTAACAATCACTGTGCAGTATTCACAAAAAATAAAATAACATTCCTGTATAAAAAAATTTTTGCGTACAGCACATTTGTGCCGAATTTTCAACACTACTGCCAAGAGAAAACTTGCAATCTTATTTAGATAAGATTTGCAATTTTCTCTTGGCAACACTCATATTATATTATCATTAAGATTTCTATAACAATACTGGTTTAACGTAAATTGCTTTTTGTTCACCAAATCCGAACAAATTTTCCTCTATTTAAACCAGTAAAACATAATACATAACTACTTGGTATTACCATTGCTCACCAAATCCGAACAAATTTTCCGCTATTTAAACTAGTAATACATAATACATAATTACTTGGTATTACCATTGCTGGGAGAACAATACGGACTTTGATGCAGTTTAACTCCGATTGTTTACTTTAGAAGGTCACAATAATTTATGAGGATTCGATATTTATGAACGATGAATAATAGAAATCGGATGCAAAACTTTCTTTTGATATTTTTGCCCCTACTTTTTTTTAAATGTACCCTAAAATTTCTATACCTTTAATTATATTAACGTGCAATATTATTAGTTAGTTTTAGGGTACAGTATGTTTAGATATACTGTATCAAAAAAGTAGATACAAGAGTATCAAAAATGAAAATTTAAATATCGGATAGTTATGATTAGATGCATTTCTTTATAAAGAGGGCGCGATTTTATGCCGTGGAATTTTGGCAGAGGGTACAATTATTTTAACCAAGGGCGGAAACATGCTCTTATATACGTGTTTTAATAATATGAGGAGCTGAGACGAAGTCAATTAGTTACTACACTTCCTTCGAAACAACGGTTACATTGAAACTACTTTATATAGATACACCTCCAATCTCGAAACTATGAAAACAACGTCTCCTTGAATCACAATTCTATTTGCCACCAAACGAAATATGATCTTTCAAAATCTACTCAAAAAATGCTATTTTTTTTACATTGGGTATTATGGCTCACTATATGTTTCGTATTGTATTATTGCCCTCATTACCCGGTTGAGAAATATATTATAAAAATTAAAAGAAACTTAATACAATCATAAGTAATGTAAACTTTTACTTATATCTCGTGATTTAGCAATTTGAACCAAAAAAAAATTATATTTTTTGATTCGTCACAGTAAGATGAATCGAAAAATATCAAAATTACTCAATTCTGATCGATGTATCGCGAGATTTCGTCAAAAAATATGAGTGCGTCACAATACCCACATGCATCATAATACCCTACCCTTCCTAACACATATCAATGGAATATAGTTTGCGTAAAGGATAGGTAATTATGCTACACATAACTGTTTATTTGTCATTGTTTAAATGACTCAAAATAAATTATTTGTCGTTATTTACATGAACTCAATTACGTAAAGTTTGATTTAAATGATGTCAACCAAATAAAACGTTCCCCATTTCCATATTTGTATAATTCTTTAAGTTGCCACTTACCTTCCATAATTGTACTATCATAACCATATTTATCCAAAATTAGTATCAGGTTTATGCCCACGTGTATTTGACAGAAGTAATACACAAATGCCAAGAATTCTACTAATCCTATTTCTGCCAGACATTATATTTTTAGTATAGAATAGACATCTTGATAAATTGTACGTAATAGCTTTCTTTTCTTAGTTGAGGAATTAATGTAAACATCCCCAATTTCTTACCAGGGATCGATAGTTCAAAACTCACATTCAATAAATAAAGCATAAAATCGGACCTTCGTACACGAGATAAACCCCAAATCTGAATGCTAAGTGATTTAACAGTCTTGATCACGTGTTAGCTAAAGAGATTTTACGATCTCACATTTTGATTTACCCTATACGACTACTACTTGTATCTTCATATACATATAGTCATCTACCTCATTCATAAAAGCAAATTACTTTTAAACACTGCCCTCAACAGATGATTGACCGACTCTGTAATTAGAGATGGGCACGCGCGGGATTTTTAATATGACCCCAAATAAAATTATCTGGCCGGCATTACCACATCATCTGGCAGGCATTGATATAATATCTGACCTATATTAACATATATACCATAAATACTCGGAATAGTGGTATGGGCAGGGTTGTTAATGGTAACTTATCGTGCGGTAAATTCCGGTAAATTCCGGTAAGTTACCAAATGCTAATTTAAAAATTACTTAGATTACTTTCATCGGTAACTTACAACAAATTACCACAATTTTACAACCCTGTGCATGGGCGTTATTTCGAATTTTGGCCTGCATTAAGCTTAATTCGGGCCGAATTTCGAAATAACCCATGCTGCCTCTATTTCGAAAATTTACAATAGAACAAGAAAATTGACTGTCAAAAAAAATTCCTGCATAGATTGTTATTTGACAAAAAAAGTTAAGAACCCCGCAGATTTGTGATCCTATCCCGTGCGTGTTACGCGCGGGATTTTCGGAGAAACCGCGATTTGTCCATCTCTATCTGTAATGCAAAAAATTTCTATATCAAGTATACTATAACAACCTACGTACTACTGCTACCGCTACACCGAGCCTTAAAATTAAAATACCGTATAATGTAGTACGTACGTACGTAAAAAAAAGCCATATATATATCGTTGATGAATACAATACTGTATTTGAAATCTTTTATACGAACGAACGTTGTTTTTCGACCAAGATTAGTGCATACAAAAAGTTATGACAAACATATCAGAAAAATGGCTTGAAAAAT